TGGCCTCTCTTGGGCTGTAGTCAGATTGTTTCTACTGTGGCCCCTTGTGGCACAGGTGCTAACGCCAGTGTCCCCCCTGGGGTGATTAGTCCCTAGGCACTTGGTACATTGCTGGAGTATAGGAGTTGGAGGGTCAGGGGCCAACTGTATTCTCCCCACACCCTAGGAGCCTGAATGAACTGCGTGTGTTGCTACTGGAAGCCAATCGTCACTCCCCAGGGCCCGAGAGAGACCTGAGCCGTGAGGTGCACAAAGCTGAGTGGCGGATCAAAGAGCAGAAACTCAAGGATGACATCCGGGGCCTGCGAGAAAAGCTGACAGGGCTGGTACGTGGGGGTGGGAGGTGCCAGGGCAGGGCTAAGGCTGCCCTTCAGTCAGGCCATGGAGACTGGTGACTTCCTGAAGTGACCATAGAGACAATCAAGTCACGAGATTTAAAATGCCCTAAGACCACAGGCAGGAGGAGGAGGGGCCCTGGGAAGCCCCTTTGCAGATGTTGTGGTCAGCTGCAGTGCCGTTTGGGGATCAGGCCTCTGGCCTTCAGGGTTCAGAGCTAAGGAGCATCACTGGCTACCCACCCAGACCGTGGGTACAGTGTCACTGGGCTAGCTGCCCTGCCATCTTCCAAGTCCCAGCATGTCTGGCCACAGGGGTTTGGTTCTAGCACCTTCTGTGGGCCTCATGTGAGTCTGAGAATGACCCAGGAGAATACTCAGCCCTGGGACTAATGGGCACTGGGGAGTTCTGAACACATCCCCCACTTAGTCGTTCCCAGAGCCACATGGGAGGTGGGCACTGCTGGGCTCAGACAGCCCCACAGGGCACAGGTTGGTCAAGTTTATGTGAGCATCACCTGCACTGTGCCCAGTGCCATGGGGAAATTTGGGGAGGGTAAGGTAGCTGGGGAGGCTCTGTGAGAAGGAAGTTTGTGTAGAGCAGTGGTTCTCAACCTTCCTAATGCCGTGACCCTTTAAAACAGTTCCTCATGTTGTGGTGACCTCCGACCATAAAATTATTTTTGTTGTTAATATAATTTTGCTGCTGTTATGAATCGTAATGTAAATATCTGATATGCAGTATTTAGACCACCCTTGTGAAAGGGTGGTTTGACCCCCAAAGGTGTTGAGAACCACTGGTGTAGAGGTTCTGGGTAGGTAGGACTGGGCAGCACCAGGAGGCTGTGTTCGTGTGGGAGGGAGAAGATGACCAGCCACCTAAGGCAGGTGGCACTCTCGGCACCTTGGTGGGCAACTGTAGAGAGAAGGCATCCCTACAAGACAGTGGGGGGCAATGGAAGAAGGAAAGAGGGGAGGGGGCCCTGGATTTGGGGACTTGGAATTATGTATAGCTTCTCAGCTATACAGCCTGAGAGTTCAGGGCAGGGGACCCTGAGGGGAGGGAGAGAGGCTGAGGGATGTTTGGGTGATGCCCAGGCCTGGACCCAGAGATGCAATGGGGCCAGAGACCGTCCTGCCTGGAGGTAAAACCCCTCCCCACCACACGCATTCTCTCACACACACATGCACATGTGCACACATACTCTCCTACTCCCTTACTGCTCCAGGACAAAGAGAAATCCCTGTCAGAGCAGAGGCGCTACTCCCTCATCGACCCATCCTCAGCGCCCGAACTCCTGAGACTGCAGCACCAGCTGATGAGCACTGAGGATGCGCTGCGGGATGCACTGGACCAGTCTCAGCAGGTGGAGAAGCTCATGGAGGCCATGAGGAGCTGCCCCGACAAGGCCCAGGTAAGCCATGGGCCAGGCCTGGTGACCAGCAGGCAGCCATTGTGGCAGTGTCACTGAGGAGCCCTGGCCTAGGATCCTAGTCTGAAGGGGAGGGAGGCCAGGCCAAGGGGTACATGATTATACCCAGAGCAGTCATACTGTGAGCTGGGCCCTGGGGGTTCCCTGGAGCCCCAGCCTGCAGAGGTTGGGGTTAAGAACTTAAGCCAGTCCTGTTGGGAAGACCGCCATCTAGTGGGAAAACCAGGAACTGCTGCCTGGCACGCCTCACTCAGCCTCTCCTGATGACTCTTGCAGACCATCGCCAATTCTAGTTCTGCAAACGGCATCCACCAGCAAGACAAAGCCCACAAACAGGAGGTAAGGTGTGCCCCTCTCCGCATAGCCCACCTCTCTGGGGAAGAACCCTAAAAAGTCACTAAAAATAAAGACAAAGATGCCTTGTACAAGAAGCTTTACAATAGGGCTACCTGAGGAGGGGGCTGTTGTAGTCAGACCTGAATCAGTATCCGTCCTGCTCTTTGGATCTCATTACCTTCCTTGCTTTAAAAACTTCTTTATTGTAAAGTATTACATGCCTATCTTAGTCGTTAGTGTTCCTGTAAAGGAATACCTGAAGCTGGGTAATTTATAAAGAAAGCTCTTGGTTGTGCTGACTGGAAGGTTCAAGACTGAGCATCTGGCCAGAGCCTTGGGAAGCTCTGTCCCATGCATGGAAAGAGGCAAAGGGGAGCTGGTATGTGCAGAGGTCACATAGGGAGAGAGGAAGAGGAGGGTGCCAGGCTGTTTTTAACAATCAGCTCTCGAGGTAACTAATGAGAATGAGAACTGGCTTAGACATCTAAACTGTAGCAGTGCCTATATGGAAACTTCTGGAAAAAATCCAAAAATGTATAAAGAAGAAACTCCTAACCAGGAGCTCTTCTCCTCAGAAATGATGTGGCCCAGGAACCCTGGTGACCTCTAAGCCGTCTCCCTCCCAAACTTTCCTAGGCATGTACATGTGTATGTATGTGAATGTCCATGTGTATACTCACTAAGAGTCATTTGTTATCCCCAGATCAGTACTCTCAGCAGCATTTTCATGCTCATTTGCAAACACACAGGTGATAACTTGAACTGTCTGGTGTGCACTCCCCCCCTGAGGTTGAACAAGGCAATGCTCTGCCTCCCTGTTTCAGGTCTCACACTGTAAACAAGTGTCCTTTTCATGATTCAGACCATAAACATGGTCTATTTAGTGCCACATATGCGTATTTTTGTGCTTTTTTTCTTGTTGGTGATTTTGCTGTTTAACTTGGCCCTAAGGCCTAGTGCTAAAGTGCTATCGAATATTTGTAAGCACAGGTGTGCTACGATGGGCTTGACAGAAAAATCTGTGTGGTAGGTAAGCTTCATTCAAGCATGGGCTACAGTGCTGTTGGCCAAGGTTGTGTTTTGATCAGTTGACAAAAATATGATGAGAGGCTCACAGAACCCTAACCCTGTATTTTCATTAGGAGTGATGGTTCAGGGTTCCATAATGCAGTGTTCATGCTGACATACAATATAACTACTGCAAATAATTAGAGTCATTATTATAATAAGTGTGTGCATAGGCATATGTGCTTTTTATTTAGAAATAATTTCAGCCGGGCATGGTAGCTCATGCCTCTAATCCTAGCACTTTGGGAGGCTGAAATGGGTAGATTGCTTGAACTCAGGAGTACAAAACCAGCCTCAGTAAGAGCAAGACTCT